GCCAAGGACTCCATTATCGTACATGACAAGCACGAAGGATCATGATTGGCGAATAAACAAGGCGTAGTCATACAAAGTCAAAGAGAACCAATATGGTGGTGAGAGCTTAATGCTGTAATTGGTGGGTTCGTTTACCGATTACGCATCACACCCAAAAAATTCCAGCTTTCAGAATAGCGAAAAGCGAAAGGTTTCATCCGAATTTCAATGGAAAAACTGAGGCACTACTTCTGGTATTGCATTAATTATTGAAAAACCTGGAGAATGACCCGACAGTAAAGTCTATTGAAAAAATTACCCCCTTCATTGAGTATGATGTGTTATTTTGGGACAGTTGGACAAGCTTTTGTGGTCGATAGTACCTTTGCATGAACTATTTTTGATACTGCCGCGCACTGTTTTACTGGATATGACAACATGAGTAGAGTTTATAAGTCGATTCTTTTCCTGTTTAAGAAACTATCTACCGGTCCGAGAGTTCTGCACCACAGGTAATAGCGTGTGTTCGAACCGGTTAGCGTCAACGCATAAGGCATCACAAGGAGGCATACTAGCCCATTCATCGTTTTCATGTTCGTTGAAAGCCTCTTAAGAAACTGTATCTCACCTGTGCGGAGTATATCAAACCACGTGGAGCAATAAGGCGCGAAGGTGGCTCAAAAGAGCCGGTCGGTCGGCTACCCTGTAGCGTGATGGCTGCTGGCCCTCGTAACCTCAATGGCCTGGGGCAAACACATTCATTTATATCCAAAACACATGGAACTTTAAACAACTGTCAAATTGGATTGGTGTGGTTAGTTGGATAGGATATCCACACTAGATGACATCAAGAAGTGAGCTCAGAATAATCAGTTACTTTATACTGGCCCGTCGCAAGGATATTGGACAGTGAACATTGTCACGGAGGCAGTGGAAAGTTTCCTGCAGTTGCGAGACGTATACCGAAGGTATTACAACATATACGTGAGACGGTTGTGGAACACTCACGGAGCTTTTCTGCGAAAAGGCGTACTTAAGTAACAGGACCCGGGTGATCTGTAGGGTTATTATACCACACAACGTCCACTCCACCGCATGTAACTCATCAGCCTCATACAACGTTCCTGGCCCTAGAAAACCCAGATACTGCAGGCATAAAGGACAGTGCTTTTCATCAGGGGGGGGGCTGGGTGATACACTTAAAATCTTACTCTCAAAACCTCTAGTTTTACTTATCGAATTTTATTGATCTTACGTTTGTGTTACTAGTGGTTTTTATCGGTTGTTTCCATTGGTAAATGGAAAGGCATGCTATGTGCTTTCTGAGTTATTGGCTCACTTTTTCTTTTATTCTTTTCAAAATTCTCCACAGGTTCCATCCGAGGACGAAGCTAGTTACTCCGTTGTACTATTCCGGAAATTCACTACAACCCTTAGTAATCTGGATGTTCTGTCCAGTTGTCTGACGTTCATTTTCATCCGAATTAGGCTCAGTATGTTCCAATGGCCGCTTTGTACTTTGCGCGCACATTTCGTTTTATGGCCCACTTGGTCGGTCGAAGTATTTTGCATTTTATCGTAGTAGGTAAATGAGAATTCTTGGTTTCATCGTTTTCCATCTTGAAGACCTACCTGAGTCTTATATATTTTCTGAGGTTTTATCATTTTCAGACTTGTTTGATGCAAATATCATAATGGAAATAATATATTACTCCGGACGAGGAATTTCATAAAATTCTGTTTACCGGTCTCAGTAGTTTCTTTGAATATCTGGTTTTCGTAAGCAAACGTTCCTGTCATCCTTCCCATTTGTACTTAGAGACGAAAATACTACAATGGTTTTCACTATTCTTCAAAATCAAACGAGTATTTATTTTGTTTTTTTGGGTCATTTTGCTTATATTTACTGGATGGCAATCATATCCCTTAAAAAGTAGTTGGTGAAGATTCGTGTTCGCATAACATTCAAACACGCGATTCCCAAGAAACTTGGTTCTCTTCCATTTCCAGTTCTGAATTCACAGTCTAAATCGTCAATGGATGGTTAGTATTTCTTCGTATCAGTTCAATGAGACTTGTGCAGTTCCTTGAGAATATTGGTAACTCCGAGTTGCTCCACTCGGAATAGTATAAATCTTGTCTTCCGTACTGCTGTTTAGTTTAAACAAGTTTAGCATTTGATATAGTAAAGTGGTACCAGTTTAGTTAGCGTATAGTGACCGACACAGTTGTGAAAGTAATTTTCGAATTAAAAAGATAGGGACGTAGTACCCTTGCTAATTCAGTAACCGGATCTTGTGAGTCAATGCGACCGTTCTACAAGATTAACTTTATTATCTACTACTAAATCACCTCACCTTCTCAAAACACGTTTAACAGTTGAGTCTATGCAATTCATTCTCTGTTCTATTTGATACATGGTACAATGGCTTAGTTTTTAAAACACGACTCATGCACCTGTTTAGAGGTTCTTTAATTACTAGACTGCTCTACTTGCTGCCGAACGTAAATAGTTGCATTTTGGTTTTCAAGCAGTTAATTTTCAAATATCACATATGAGTTCTTTTCGATTTGCTTTTTCAGGTTTTATTTTACTGACATACGTTCTATGACTCCAAATCTATTCTCGTAGCCCTGCAAGCATGGTAGTAAAATATATGAATCGCAGCTAGTTTGCCGTTTAAATGAACCACATAATAAAATTGATTATTTATTTTTAAGATAACATATAAGGTTCAAACGATTCTTTATTTCATTAGAAAGAAATGGAATTACTTACGGAACTCAAGTATTGTTAAAGCCGTTAGCGTATGAGTCATTATTGGTAACCAGATTACTGTTTGCAGCATCCCAGTACTATGAAAAATTTTGTGAACACATAATTGTCAAATACTTTACGATGAGCTGCAGATGGACTCGGTGAGATATGATAGTTGAGCCTATGTACTTGATTTCTTTCTTATTCGAGAATCCCTTTTGCGGTTTCAACTATTGGGCCGTAGACTCTGGCTACAAACTACCTACTTTACTTCATTACATAATGTGATTTAAAGCCAAGTTCGTAATTTGCGCTGAGCTACATAAACACTGTCACTCGGCAGTCCCTACCACGTCGGACTTCCGTTATTATTTATTTAAACACAGACATTGGTACAAAGGTGAACCGAATACATATGCACCACATAAGTCACTCGGTTTGTGAGTGGGCTGTGATACTGCCCAGGTGCCAAAATCGAAGCACGTGGTTTTCTTAGAGGGCCGCATTCCGACCCTTTGACCTGAAGGGCTAATCCGCATGGCAGTAGAGCGATGTAAGGAGATACAGTCCTATCGTAGCCGGTCACCAACAATGGGTTCATACACCATTTGTTCCCTTAGAACCTTGGAGCCCATATGCACCAGATGTTTGGAATCAGAGTTTTCTGACCCCCGTAGGTGCATCCTACGTATTCACTAACCCGGATAAAGCGCCGGACATTCGCTTTTCGTTCTCTCAATCTCGTAAACAACACCCCCTCGAGAAGGCAGTAAGTGGGACTTCCGTGGCATTGGTACATGGTCATTTGAGAGCATTTCGAGAGAGAGAGAGCTGACTCCGCACTCTCGACCGTACCAGGTTGCTTCCTTACATCCCCACTCGTGAATCCTTACAGTTAGCTGGTCATAGACAAAGTAAAATCGGATTGTTCAGGCCAATATTGTTCTTAGGCAAGGTTGAGAGCTCCTAAACCTGAAAACTCAGTAATCCTATATTAATTCCGTTTTATAACCTACCATCTCCAGCCCCACACGTCTTAAATTATCCGCGGGATAGTCGTAGTGGTTATGTCTCAAACGACATGGCAGCATCAGCTGCAGTGACTTAGTTGTATTTAATCTTTGTCTCCCTCCAAATCCCAAGTTTCATTAATATATTCTGAAAATTAGCAGTTTCTTAATATTCTGAAAATGATTGCATAATGTGTACTGACATTACCCCATGCTTTTTTACCCCTGATTCTTTCCATTCCCCTCTCCCAACACTCAATATTTCGTTTTTTCTTACCGTAGTTATCATTTCGGCTCCTTTTGCTACTCCTGTTAATTTATTCCCACTGTTTTGGTATAAAGTGTGGCTACTCGATCCAGTTGATGAGGTTGTGAATCTTCATCGACTGAGATGGATGTGCCACGTGTAACGTTGCATGAACACCGATTACCACGACGCACAATGGTGACTAGTGTTGGAGATGGTTGGAAGAAAGTTAGTGGCGGCCAAACCAAAATGTGGCACCAGTCCTTGAAGTCATTAACTTCTAGTCTGAGCCACGTTGGCAGATGCAGAATACTTGGTGGGGGTCCGCGTGACTATCGTAACCATTGGTTGGAGACTCTGTGTGACATGGCTCAGAACCGATCACAATGGCGTAGGTGTATACACTCTTTGTCTTCCTTTAAACTAAGAGATTAAAATCGCTTCATATCTTTCTTTCTACATACTAGATCTTTCTTCCTGTACTATGTCCTTATATGGAATCTTTCTTTTATATATTATCACCACTGGATTAACTACTTCTATGAATTTGGTGTTCATCTTGTTGTGCTAATGAGATATGGCAACTTGGACTGATGCATATATGTGCCTTGTCCTACGTTTTAGTTGACTGACTCGTTCCAATGAGCGTCGTCCAGTTGAGGTTGCGATAGACTTAACAACTAAACTAAATACAAACTCCGTGACCATATTTTTCATGTTAGTTTTCGTATTTTCATGTCCAAACTTTGAAGCTGTTTTAACTTTAATGAATATCACATGGAGGTTCGCAGGTTTTCTTACATACTGTTTTTCATTTGTTGTAGGTTTATTTACTCAGAGATGTTACTAATTTACATTCAAATTCTTAAGTAATGTTAGACAGAATATGACATTTGTCTTACATAGAAATCGTCTCTGAATATTTCAAGATAATATGATTGTCCCAAATCAAACCAGGATGCAACACTTCTGGAGCTGGTAGATATCAAATTGGCATAAAAATTAAATGCATCTATGTCAAACAAAAGCAACACTTAGACCAACCCAGCCAACAAAGTCGTGTGAATCTCCGTATAGCTGCCCCGCACCATGTGATGGTATTTTGCATAATGCAGATAACCTTACTAATTCTGCGGATAATAGTTTTTTGAGTTCTTCTACAAAAGATCCCTCCAGCAATTCTAATATTGATGACTCCATGAATGAGGTTCAAAGTCATCTTTCCATCCTAGGGTCAAATAATCAAATCCGATCACTTCCAAAGGAAGAGAAAGAGCAGTCTGATGTCATTAAGAAACTGGTTGATTCTGGAAGTCAAATGAGCGATTTGACTTTACAATGTATGGATAATTATTACGATGATGAAGATGACGATGCCTTGTTAGCAAGAGAGTTCAATCAACAACCTGTAGGATTTGAGGGTAGTCCAGGCGATTGTGAATCGGGAGATTATGATATTGGAACATTTTCCCTTACTTCAGTTGATGGTAGAGCCGTCAAAGAAGAGTCCATTCCTCTTTTTGCACGTTACCGACCCTCTCCACCTCCTCCACTTTCCAGAGGACAAATACTATTTTCTCCTAACTTACGTAATCAGTCGTTAGAAGTTTCAGAGCAACCGTCAAGGTTTATCAGTTCGGAGTGTCTTCCACCACAGATCAAAGGGTATTCTCAACTTAAAATGAGTGATTTAGAAACTGTCGACGATGATAACCCATCTAGTCGCAGATGGTTCTCTGAGGATGAAGCTGGTGACGTAAACCAAACTTTATATCATCGTGTTATGGAGGAACCTTCACCTTTTGTTGGTTTGTCTACAACGTTGTCCCCTATTGCACTCACGTTGGACACGGGTGTTATAACTTCTTCGTCGCTCTCTTTGTCTTCAGCTTTATCCAGAGTAGCTGCAGATGACCAAGTTTCATTTCGACTTACCACTTCATCTAGTACAAGAAATAGTGCTAGTACTAATCCTGTTAATAGTCCACCTTTACAAGCTTCAACATCATCTTCATATGGTCAACTTAGTCAGCCTATTTGTGATAGCCGACCACTTACCTCAGTTACTTATAATTCAGACCCAGTAATTTCTTCTTGTTCCAAAATAACTTTCTCTCATATCCCAGATGACCCTTCTATTAGCGCTCGTCAAAGATTAATGGGAGCGTCCGCTGCAGCAGCTATATTGGCTGCATCAGCATATGCTGCGCAAAACTACCCTGCGAAATTGAACAACTACAAAGACATGGTCAATTTAAAGGAGCAGGATGTGATTCATTTACGTCAGTTACCACAACACTCAGCATTAATTAATGACCTTTGTCTAAATTCACCACTTTTACAAATCCAATCAAGCTCACACACTGCGATGTCTTCTCTCAGACGCCGTGATCCTTGGTCCATTCCTTTAAGAAAAATGTCTGTAAATCTAATACAAACGTACAAGCACATAAACGAGGTAATGTTTAAATGGCTATGTTTTACTATATCACGCGCGAGCAAATTTTACTATCGTAAGTCTTGTAAATTACTACTGCTCTTTTTTATAGCGTCAACATCACTTTTCTTAAACATATGGGATTAGTTACTAAGCGATCAGTTTAGAATTGAGGTCTAACTAAAATTAATAAAATTTTTAGATTCTCTCCACTACTATATATGTTCAGATAGTTCTCAGTCACCTAGTTGATTAGATTTAAAATGTGGTATTGCAAAGACGCATTATTCATGGCACATATTCTATCCACGCTCTTTGAGGAGCCTGGTGCTCCGCCGCATACCTGATAGCGTATATCAGTCACAATAAATTTGACCTGGTCATGTATATATGCGCAACCAAATGATATTCCAGTTTAGAGATTTATTTAGGGAATGTATACTAGAGTTTGAAATGATTATTTAATAGCGAAATCCTAAATTGGTCTTTGATGGTCATCATCATATAAGGAAACCTAAAATTATCTAGACCTTCAAATCTCTCAGAACCAGCCTACGTTAGAACTGTGACTGTTACGAAAGTTTTTAGGGTCGCTGTAAAGTTAATGCACGACTGAACAAATGGTCTTCACAAACTGATAGTAGTCACCACTTAGAAGACAGTCAATCATCTATCAGTAGGGATCAAACTAAGCATACGAGTCATGTGTCCTGTCAAACATGCAATATTTTTTCCGTTTGTAAGAGAACAATGTGGGTGAACAGATTTTTTGTGTAAAATATGATTTTGTGTAACAAATTCAGTTTCTAAAACTATATTACTGAATCACGTGCTAATTAAACTAGGATATATTTTGTATCCTATTAGTGCGTAATTATAATAACAGTACAAACTCATTGAATCAATATATTAACTAAACATGTAAATCGTTTTAAGAAATCTTTACATTAACGTTGGACGGTGTTTGTTACTCAATAAACCGTTCGTCATCAGGATTTCCGGTATTATAGTCCATTCACTAGCACAACTATAATACATAAGAGACTGTATTCTGAATAAGCTTCATGTTAGTGACTTTTGATTAATTTATTTATGGAGAAGCAAAGTATCTTTGTGTGCAATTCAACCGAAGCGGAAGTTAGGATGGATTGTTTTGCTGACCCAATCGGGTTGTAACTTTTGAAACACTTGTCTTTGTACGGGCAGAAGGTAGTCATTAAGATATTTCTCCCCAAATCCCAACATATGTAGTTATACTTTCAGGATGTAGTGAAAAGTGGAACTAGAAAACCAGTCTTTGTTCTTCCCCACGAATTTTCGATATGTCTAGCAACGTTTTTGTTACAATATAAACGAAAATGAAGACCTACACATTAGCGAAAAAGTTGCACATCATTTACATAAACTTAAAATGTTTAGACTACGGATTTTTTCAGTATATCGTTAACAATACTACATTGCTTCCAAATTTATATGTGGAAATAGATTCGTGTCTGGCTAGACAACTGGGATTCTAGTCCCTAGACCATTTGGATTCATTATATCAGGAGAAACTGGCTAGCTATCTGCCAATACTGTGCAGCTGCGATTTCAGTCTTAAATGAGCTTTTCATCGCTTGCGTACTTTTCTAAAAAGAAAACAAGACACTACATTTGCAGTCAAACACTAGTAAAACCCGGTAAACGTCTAATTTATGAACTTTGCTGTTACATCCTCATAAAAGAAAATGGATTTTTAAGAGATTATCATCAAACCTTTCACATAAAAGTCTTATCCATAAGACAGTGGTAACATGTTCACATAAACCAGTAATTAGAACAGATACATGCATCATATCTCCTTCAGGATCCACAAATTAATGTTTCCCACCACTATTGAATCGGTTTCTCTGCTCTTTTAAGTAAACCCTCTATGCATGTCATCCCTGTATATAAGCGCCACCCGTTCATTTTTGTAACGAATATTCCCAACTATTTAAAGGTAGCAAGTTAGGATTCTATTCTCAAGACACGAGCTTGGAATCTTATGAGGCTATTTTGAAAAAAATAGCAAGCTTTTAACCCTCAATCGTACCGTTTTATTCGCATGGTCATATCCGGTTGAATTTCATTGTAGTTCATTATCATTCAACCGTTGGTTACCATGCTTATATGTTATCACTTGTTTTTAGGTGTACTATCGTAAGAAGCGACGACTTCGCGAACAACAGCGTCAAACAAATGAAGCTTCTGCTACAGTTCCTGAAGTACCTTACCTTCAAAAAGTTCGCTCACCTGAAAATGATCTATTGCTTGGTGATCACCTGGATTCATTTTGGAGGATGCCGGATAGTAGTGAAGCGTGTATCAAAACACAACCAATGTATGACCATGGCACTTTGGGTGGTATTACTAGGACCACAGAACACCAATCATTTCCTTCAGGTGTTTCAGTTCAACATAGTTCTACAACTAACAATGCTATGAACGTGCCCACAAATTACAATGTAGGTTCAGCTGTTCAGTCACAAACGTTTCCATGCAACAATTCTGTTGTGTCTTCCAAAAGCTCGCCTCACCCTCGACATCGGGCCGTGCCGAATGTACTTCGAGTGAATCCAGATCAAATAGTACAACCTTATCTATATGATTCAACCACGTTAAATGGAGTAACAAATCGTTTTTCTACACTAGGTAATTAATATCAACTTTTATTTACTCATAACTATTCTGTGTATAACGGTGTTGTCTAATAACTTGTTTTTCATATACTTTGAGATCTGAAGGTTACTTATGATACAGCAATCAACCATGATTTTGTTCTTTCTCGAACTGTAAAAATGGAAAGGTATTCCAAAAAGCTACCCTCTTCAGTAAAGGAACACTTAGGTGGAAGGAAACCAATTTATTGTTTAACGCAAAATCACACAGTGGCTTAGTAAAATATGAAAATTATATATCAAATATATCATTTGCACATCTTTGCGTTGTCTTTCACACGCTCCATTGTTCCTCTAATTCTATTGTTATTTCGATTGCTCTCAGATTTCCTTCCTGTTGTCTTCATTGCAATCTTCTGCCACCAGGCATTCCACTTTCGATTGGTGCTACATACGGCTCATATCTGTCAATATAAGTAGCATGCACCCACTGCCATCAAATAATTTGAATAGGAAATTATCACAAGTCTCTCAGATTTTAGCGCGATTGAAAAAGCTATAGCTAATCTAAAGCGAAGGAAGCAGCGAACCTGGTGGATTAACTCCGGAGACCGTTGAAGATAGTGGTTCACTTTTAGCAGCCAAGGTGATCGAGATACAGGCTAGAGTTTGGGAGCTGCCCACAATTCCATCGGATTGGTTTTGATCTCTGATCGTCTCCGTTTGTAAGAAGAGGACAAAAATCCTCTTCTGATAACCATAAAGCAATCATTGTGACTAATATACTGTCTGAAATACTAACCTTTATAATCATCCAATACATAACTAGTTGCGAAGAGCAAACCCATAAAAATCAGACTGGGCTTATGCCGGGCCGTTAATGTATTAACCAGATATCCATTTTTCGTTAGGTTTTAAAATACAGTCATATTTACCGACATGCGACTATGGTTTTTCTTCTTGATCTTAAGGCAGCATGCAACCCTTTTGACCGAGTTGTTTTTTGAAACTGTTTATGATTAAAGGGGTTACCAAATAAGTACATAAACCTCGTAAGAATCTCAGCTCAGACACTATTGGTCGAGTCCGAATTCATCGGTAAACTGTCAGTTGGTGTTTTTTAGGGTTTCCCATGTGTATATTACAAGGTAGTCCTATATGTATCACTTGATTGTTGTGAAACATTGTCTATGAAAGTATAAAAGACAAGTAGGGTGCAAACTTTTGATCACATATATCTTCGAAGCATTGTTTGTTTATTTTGGGATAGCCGCGTGAGTAATATTGAGGTTAGGCATACGTTACTAGACAAATGTAGGAGATCGGTTGAAGGGGGTGTATGGACCCTCATCGACAAAGGGGACTTGAACATGTGTTACGCATATTTAACCACTGCCAACCTCAACGCACTATGTCTACTGCTATAGAAATATGCTGTTGTACGAAGATATGAAGTTATTGACTGTTAGTCTGAGCCGTTGTTGCTGCCTTAAAGTGGTGGTCGGGCTTGCCTATCGTGATGAAGCAACCGAGCTATACTGGTTGGAACAACCGTCCCTCAAGGTCTTACCATGCCAGACAGGTCGGTTGAAGAAGGGTAAGACTAAAAGCAACAAGTCGAAGGTCCGAAGGCGAAGTCGTACTGCTGACTGTACAAAGGTGTGACGGCAGTGAGGTGTTTCTTTCAGACAACCAGCATAACAGCGATGCTGCCTTCCCACAAGGAGAGGTGGGGTTAGAAAAGGCCGACCCTAAATATTCAACACCTCGCCTTATCCCATGGATATCCGTCTCCGACGGTATTTGTTATTTATTTATTTGAACACATAAATATTGGTACAAGAGGGCACCAAATATATATGCGCCACACAACAAGGTCTCAACAAGTATGGAGCTAACACGAAAATTACCCGCAGAAATATCGTGTGTGGCCGACCTCAAGCAGTTGTCCCTTAGACACTGCGGTCACTCCCTCAGGTCACTAAGACCACCTCCAATCCAATTTTCTTTTCAGGTACCCCCAGAAGAACCCTTCCACGGTGTGGGCAACTGGGAAGTGATAACCGCCCTCAAGACCACTGTATTCATAATCAACCTCCCTCTTCAATTCCTATTATTCCTCCTACCTCGACTTTCAACGCTAAACTTCCTCTTTCGGCTTCCTCGCTCCAAACTACACATTGGAGTTTTCAACGTACGCACACTATGTCAAATCGGTCAGCAGGCTCCCTTGGCTAAAACCCTAGAATCTCGTACCATTGATGTTTACTGTTTCTCCGAAACACGCATACAAGATCCTAGTGTGGTCATTCACTTGACCTCACCTCAGCAAAACGGAGAGCCGACGAGATGCAGATAGCTAAGCGTTCAGACATAGTACTCGTAGCAGGTGACTTTAATGTCCAGACAGGTAGCTTAAAACAAACAGAAAGACATTTAGGTGGGAATTTCGGTATTCCGGCTCAGCAAATAGATAATGGTGATCGTCTGCTGCAATTATGCTCAGACAATCGTTTATTTTTAGCAAACACTAATTTTAAGAATAAGGAGAGACGTCTAACATGGCGACCCCCTGCACCAAACCAACAATGGACTCAAATAGACCACATTGCCGTCAGTCATCGTTGGAGAGGGTCGATAGAAGATTGTCGCTTATTCTGGAATACCTACTTGGACTCCGACCATGCTTTAATACGCGTACGCATCTGCTTGCGGCTCACTGGATGCAGAAAAGTCGCACTAAAAGGACCCATTAGAATTGAATTGAGTGACGAGAAAACCAAAAGTAGGCTCCAGGAACAACCGAGGTCACACTTAGGTAGTTCTGAAAACGAGGCTGACCCAGATGTTGCTTGTAAAAATATACAATCAGCTGTGGAAATAGCAGTGACATCTGTTAGTGACTTAAACCAAAGTGTTACAAAACACCAATGGATTTCTTCTAAGTCTATTGCATTGATGGATTCTCGTAAACTCATTCCATCAGGCTCCGAACACGATGAAGACCGAAAACAAATCAGATCTAGGTTAGGCAAAAGTCTAAGGAATGACTGTGAGAAGTGGTGGGCAATGAAAGCCAAATAGATGGAATAGGCGGCGGCTATAGGGAACATAAGACAGCTCTACAAACTAATAAAAGAAACTGGAATTAAGAAGTCAAGTGTATGTGAGACTATCTCGGAAAAGGACGACACTCCTATCTGCTCCTAGTTCAGACGTTTAGAACGATAGGTGGGACATTTTAAGGAGCAGTTCATCTGGCCTTTAGCTACTCTACAACTACCCTCCCTTCCCAGACAATGTGAATGGAACATTGAAGTAGGTCTCCCGACTCTATCTGAAGTATAAAAGGCTATAATTAATCTGAAACGAGGAAGAGCAGCTGGTCCAGATGGATTGGCGTCAGAAGTCTTCAAGGATGGTGGTCCAATTTTAGCAACTAGGTTGACTAATAGTTTATCTAAACTCTGGGAGTTGGACGTAATCCCATCTTACTGGTCACAATCACTTATCGTCCCAATACATAAGAAAGGGTCAAAATCATCCTGTGATAACCATAGAGGGATTAGTTTAACTAATATAGCATCTAAATTACTAGCCTCGATTGTTGTCGGACGCGTAACAAAGACTCGTGAACTGCAAACACGAGAGAGTCAAGCTGGCTTCAGACCTGGTCATGGCTGCATCGACCACATATTCACCATTCGTCAGGTTCTAGAACACAGACATACTTATCGGAGTCCGACAATGGTGGTCTTTCTTGACTTAAAAGCAGCATTTGACTCTGTAGACCGTGAGATTCTATGGCAGTGTCTGTCATTGAAAGGTGTACCCCAGAAGTACATAAACCTTGTGAAGGCTCTTTACTCGAACACTACTAGTCGAGTCAGGGCTTATAGCGAACTGTCATCTACTTTTGTAACCTCAAGTGGTGTCCGTCAAGGCTGTCCACTTGGTTGGGGTCCGCGTGACTATCGTAACCATTGGTTGGAGACTCTGTGTGACATGACTCAGAACCGATCACAATGGCGTAAATCGGATTCCTCAGGCCAATATTGTTCTTAGGCAAGGTTGAGAGCTCCTAAACCTGAAAACTCAGTAATCCTATATTAATTCCGTTTTATAACCTACCATCTCCAGCCCCACACGTCTTAAATTATCCGCGGGATAGTCGTAGTGGTTATGTCTCAAACGACATGGCAGGATCAACTGCAGTGACTTAGTTGTATTTAATCTTTGTCTCCCTCCAAATCCCAAGTTTCATTAATATATTCTGAAAATTAGCAGTTTCTTAATATTCTGAAAATGATTGCATAATGTGTACTGACATTACCCCATGCTTTTTTACCCCTGATTCTTTCCATTCCCCTCTCCCAACACTCAATATTTCGTTTTTTCTTACCGTAGTTATCATTTCGGCTCCTTTTGCTACTCCTGTTAATTTATTCCCACTGTTTTGGTATAAAGTGTGGCTACTCGATCCAGTTGATGAGGTTGTGAATCTTCATCGACTGAGATGGATGTGCCACGTGTAACGTTGCATGAACACCGATTACCACGACGCACAATGGTGACTAGTGTTGGAGATGGTTGGAAGAAAGTTAGTGGCGGCCAAACCAAAATGTGGCACCAGTCCTTGAAGTCATTAACTTCTAGTCTGAGCCACGTTGGCAGATGCAGAATACTTGGTGGGGGTCCGCGTGACTATCGTAACCATTGGTTGGAGACTCTGTGTGACATGGCTCAGAACCGATCACAATGGCGTAGGTGTATACACTCTTTGTCTTCCTTTAAACTATGAGATTAAAATCGCTTCATATCTTTCTTTCTACATACTAGATCTTTCTTCCTGTACTATGTCCTTATATGGAATCTTTCTTTTATATATTACCACCACTGGATTAACTACTTCTATGAATTTGGTGTTCATCTTGTTGTGCTAATGAGATATGGCAACTTGGACTGATGCATATATGTGGCTAGTCCCACGTTGCAATTGACTGACTGAGCCGTTTTGGTAAGTTTGGGGTACCACGTTAAGGTCCATATGGTAAGCGCGATCAGTGCTTCGAGACTTTGGTAGCATAGGTCAACGTAGTTCGCAATGACTCAAATTCATTCACTTCATTTTCTGTCTTGAATTTCAGTATTTCTTCATATTTATACCTTTTCACTGTTCCTTCAAACCATATTCTCAAAATTTAGACTTTATTGGTGATTACCAAGGTTAGACCTGGTAATTTCAAATTAAATGAACACTGAGTAGTATGGTGATAGTAAAATAATGATGTAGTTGTGGTATCACAGTGTAGAAATTAGAATTTTTGACTTTTCATGACCTAGTGTAAACCGCTTCGGAGTAAAATAAAGAATCCGGTTGTTTATTTACTCTGAAGAAATGCCTTACACTGTCACGAAACGTCAGAAATTTCTTTGGTGTTTTTGTCATTGATACCACATTATTCTGATCGCTCGTTATTTTCATCTCGTCGTCTCACTGTGGTATAGGAACTTGAGCCAACTCACATCTGTCTCAGAGTGTATTTGTGATGTCTATCTGCGAAAAAGCCGTAGTTTTTGACCATATTTTTAAATAACTTTGAAGGGAATAATCAAACCAGCAACACAACATATATCCGTATACATACTGGATGTCTAAATACTAACAATAATGTCCTATTTCGAACTGAAATTTGAGTTCTAATATTTTCAATGTAAATTGAACCCAACAATCGTTTCCTTAAAAGTAGTGAATAAAAATTTTCTTAATTTCATTTGTTTATAAAATTACACTTTCATACAATTCACAAAGCCCAATTATTTCTTTCTTTTAGATATTTCTGAGTCTATCTATGACACCGGTAATTCACAAGTAGACTCAAGATTCATGCCTGTTACCCTCAATAATGTTTGGCTACCAACAAGCAGTTCCGGTGCAACTGCAACACATATTTCTAGACCACTCCTACTAGAAAGTGGGAAGTCGGTAGTTCGTGACCAAAGAGACCCACGTGGTTCTACTAACCAGAGAGATACTGAGCCACATTCCACACATTTGCAACACATATTCCCATATCAATCTTTTCTGCCGTCAAAGACAGACTTTCCCACTTATATGGAGCAAAATCCATTGTCTCTAGACAACAACATTCGTTCAAAAAACTCATCTCAAATCCCTCTGTGTCTTTTGTCAACAACAGAAGCTAGGAATACCAGTATCACCACCACCGAAGGATTTTATCAGAATCAATTCAATTTAGATATTACGAAACCAATCAATCCACATCATTCAATTTCTTTCCCGGTTGGAAATTTCAGTTCCTCGAATTGTACACATAACAATAGTTTCAGATCGTCAGCATGTTATTATAATTTAACACCGCTTGATTCAATATCCCCGACTAATAGTCGAATATCTGGGATGTTTTTAAATACGCATCAACATACTGCAAATACGTGTCCTATTAGTCATAGTCAAAATAATTTGGTGTCAACTTCTGTAACTTCACCGTCTTATATGTGTATGTCTAAAACGAGATTCATAATTTACGTGTTATGATTTTATGTCAATATTCATTTTATGCGAATCCAAAAGTCCTTTAGATTTGTTGCACTTCTTGCTGAAGTATTAATAAGAGTCAGCTTAAATAAAGTTGGGTCGAAAACAATGATGAGTTCTATGTCAATATGAGTTTTTGAGCTGTTTTTTTTACCGTGGAATATACATCCGATCTTTGGTGTCTTCAGATCACTACTTACATCCGGTATAGCGATCGAGCCTACAATACTGTAGGTTTGTACGTGATTTCAGGTAAGAGAGGAATGACATGTTTAGAGTCAGCTAAGAAACTCAACTCTCGGCTAACTTAGTGGAGCTGTTAAAATATGTTCGTCATGTAAACAGAACCCGTGAACTTGATGGACCCATCCATGGTGATTTAAAATTCCAAACCAGGGGTGCATATAGGCTCTATGATTCTAAAGAAACAAACTGTGTAAGCCTATCATGGTCGTGGTCACCATGGAAACACAGCTCCTAACTTTTGGTTGATAAACTCTCCTGACAACTAACAACCGTATTCGAAGGACTTAATACACTTAAATCCATCATGTAAAATATGTTCATCTTTTATGTTGTGACCATTAATCAGTCTCTTCGGGTTACGCACAACTTATGAAAATCCCATTTAATAATATGAACACGTTTTTTGCAAATGTTTTGATTGCGTTAAATTTGAATTAAAGAAACTAAATGTATGGATTTTTTGAAATTCTAAGTTTAGTTACTGTCTACCCCTTGATTGTAATGATGTAACACATATCGACGCTGGTTTGTTAATAAATACATCCAATTACAACTAATAATGAGTTCATTAATGCAAGACTTCTATCGAACGTTTCTGTGGGTTTTGGTTCCAACATAATAAATAACTAGTCACAGTGAATATTTTGCATTTGCATAGCCTCATAACTGTTTACTCCTTACTAATCTTATCTAGAATATTTAATAACACCTATCGATTGTTGATAATGATATTGTTTTCACAATATAAAATCAACTTTTTCTGGTTTTTTCCACCTTGTCGCACTTGTTACCAATCTGTGCAGTACTTCTGCTCACTGTCCTGCATTATAAATATATATTAGTAACTTAACGGGATCATCAACATGACTTCATCATTACAATCAGTACGTACCTCAACAGAAGTCAAAGATTGTGTTACTATTCAGAAGTAATTACGTAAATTCTCTTAAGCTTAGATCAATTAAGATTGCACGACATTAAATTTTTTCTGAACTAATATCAAGTGGCTATCAGGACTCATTAGCTGAGTGGATAATGCGATGGCGTTTGAAGCGAATGGTACTGGGTTCGAGTCCCAGAGTGAACATCAACTCTGAGATGCAGGTACATCCAGCTGGCGACTCCCAAATAGGACGAAATGCGCGTCCTGGATTCCACTGTTAGCCACTATCTATCATTGTTTATAATATCAATTTATGTTGGTCTACGTTGTGTATTGTGTTGAAAACTCATGTTAATTGTAGTCTGTTCAGATTTTTACCAGTACTACATCCTTTAAGCTTTTCAGATATTTCATATTAGTTCGGCGAAGCGATATTCTTGAAAACTTGTGAAGTACATGTTCTTATGAATAAGTAATGACTAGAATATATGCTTTATTGATTTTTACTATTTCACACTTTCATCGATAATTTTTTAAAATATTATTTTGTAGCTGGTTTTCGTCAACGTTTCGACCTCACGTCACAAAGTCAAGATGCTTTAGCAAATACAAGAACATCACCGCATGATAACATCCTTGGGGTTACTAGCATTAGTCCTACCAGCCCGCTTTTGCCATCCATTTTTTCCGGTCACGTGTCTAATCCAGCTTTAGTTACATCTTTAAGTACATGCGTTGCACGACCTCATGAAGGCAATGTAAATCAGCTGTATCCACTTGGTTTTTCTACTAATGAAGTGTTGCACTCTTCCTATGCACAAAATGCTCTGTCAAAATCCACAAATGTTACATATGTAAATCAACCTATGTTTTTCAACTCGGCACTGTCAAATCAGTTTGTTCACCGTTCTGGTATAAATCAAATAGGAACCAAGGTGGCGATCACAAACTCAGACATTCCTGGGACATCAGCAACAGTCTTATCAGCAGCTAGTGCAGCAGTTCAACAATCATCTGTGATATCTGGTTCAAGCAAAATTAATATAGTAAATAGTTCTACTAGTACTACTACTACTACTACCACTCATCATGTAGATCGTCGTCATACAGATAGCAATTATGATTACATTGTTAGGCCCGGTGAGGTATGGATGGGACAATACTTAATTAACAATCTTATTGGGAAAGGATCGTTTGGTCAGGTAAATTTTCCTTTAACCAAATTACACGTCTTTTTTCATGATAGATTTTTTACCTGAAACTCAACCATTTTTATACAGGATGCATCATCTATGAACGAAGGCTTCTGTACCTATATACCACTATCCATAAACGTATTGAACGTCTGTTAGGTATCCCACATAGATTCGTCAGAGCTATTCCATCGAAGCCAAATATAAGTCATTTATCACAACTACAATGTCTCTTTAACTCAAAATTAGTGTGTAATAAGAACAGTATTGCATCTTATATTTACAATAATTTTATGACAGAATCTTCGATATTTCTTTGTAGATGCTATACCTAATGCGATAATACGCTTGACTTACATGTTAATCTTGTAATGAGATGTGAAATTGTTTAATTTGAAAGTGTATCCTTACATAATCAGCAATTATCGCTAAATTGAATTTCCCTTATCAACTGGTAAAAATACAGTGGTCTTGAGTGCTGTTAGAGGTATGAGGGCGGTTATCACTTCCCGGTTGCCCACACCGTGGAAAGGTTCTTCTGGGGTTACCTGAAAGGAAATTGGATTAGAGGTGGTCTTAGTGACCTGAGAGCGTGACCGCAGTGCCCAAGGGACAACTGATTGAGGTCGGTCACACACGACCTTTTTGTGGTTGATTTTTGTGTTAGCTCCGTACTTGTTGAGACCTTACCGCCGGAGACGGATATCCATGGGATAAGGCGGGGTGTGCATTTTTAGGGTCGACCCTTTCTAACCCCACCCCTCCTTGTGGGAAGGCAGCATCGCTGTCATGCTGGTCGTCTGAAGGAAACACCTCACTGCCGTCACACCTTTGTACAGTCAGCAGTACGACTTCGCCTTCGGACCTTCGACTTGTTGCTTTTAGTCTTACCCTTCTTCAACCGACCTGTCTGGCATGGTAAGACCTTGAGGGACGGTTGTTCCAACCAGATAGCTCGGTTGCTTCATCACGATAGGCAAGCCCGACCACCACGTCAAGGTAGCAACAACGGTCGGGCGTTTTTCTTTCAGGCCAAAGCCAATAGGCCCATAGCCTCCTGAATTAGTACCATTCTATCCGTACATCAGAACATACAAAGCCAATGCGAGTTAGGCTTCGAGCATCTTTTGTAAGCCGTCGGACTTAGGCGTGTACACATTTTGTGGTACCACTTTTTACAATCGTCACATTGCATTCCCTCCTCCACGGGGAACAAACAATTTGGTTGCCCACATTTGTGAGTCTTACCAACCATTGTAATTCGATTTAAAAGGTTTAAAAAACACAAAATGATCACAATGTGAACACAAGTGTTAGTCAGGAGTAAAAAAAAGGTACTCAGGACAAAATTTAGCAAAAAATTCCAAACTTTAACCAAAGTACTTTAAGTTAAAGTAGACCAAGAATGCTTTTTGGTGCAACTGGCCTTCAGCTACTCTACAACTACCCTCCCTTCCCAGACAATGTGAATGGAACATTGAAGTAGGTCTCCCGACTCTATCTGAAGTATAAAAGGCTATAATTAATCTGAAACGAGGAAGAGCAGCTGGTCCAGATGGATTGGCGTCAGAAGTCTTCAAGGATGGTGGTCCAATTTTAGCAACTAGGTTGACTAATAGTTTATCTAAACTCTGGGAGTTGGACGTAATCCCATCTTACTGGTCACAATCACTTATCGTCCCAATACATAAGAAAGGGTCAAAATCATCCTGTGATAACCATAGAGGGATTAGTTTAACTAATATAGCATCTAAATTACTAGCCTCGATTGTTGTCGGACGCGTAACAAAGACTCGTGAACTGCAAACACGAGAGAGTCAAGCTGGCTTCAGACCTGGTCATGGCTGCATCGACCACATATTCACCATTCGTCAGGTTCTAGAACACAGACATACTTATCGGAGTCCGACAATGGTGGTCTTTCTTGACTTAAAAGCAGCATTTGACTCTGTAGACCGTGAGATTCTATGGCAGTGTCTGTCATTGAAAGGTGTACCCCAGAAGTACATAAACCTTGTGAAGGCTCTTTACTCGAACACTACTAGTCGAGTCAGGGCTTATAGCGAACTGTCATCTACTTTTGTAACCTCAAGTGGTGTCCGTCAAGGCTGTCCACTTGGTTGGGGTCCGCGTGACTATCGTAACCATTGGTTGGAGACTCTGTGTGACATGACTCAGAACCGATCACAATGGCGTAAATCGGATTCCTCAGGCCAATATTGTTCTTAGGCAAGGTTGAGAGCTCCTAAACCTGAAAACTCAGTAATCCTATATTAATTCCGTTTTATAACCTACCATCTCCAGCCCCACACGTCTTAAATTATCCGCGGGATAGTCGTAGTGGTTATGTCTCAAACGACATGGCAGCATCAGCTGCAGTGACTTAGTTGTATTTAATCTTTGTCTCCCTCCAAATCCCAAGTTTCATTAATATATTCTGAAAATTAGCAGTTTCTTAATATTCTGAAAATGATTGCATAATGTGTACTGACATTACCCCATGCTTTTTTACCCCTGATTCTTTCCATTCCCCTCTCCCAACACTCAATATTTCGTTTTTTCTTACCGTAGTTATCATTTCGGCTCCTTTTGCTACTCCTGTTAATTTATTCCCACTGTTTTGGTATAAAGTGTGGCTACTCGATCCAGTTGATGAGGTTGTGAATCTTCATCGACTGAGATGGATGTGCCACGTGTAACGTTGCATGAACACCGATTACCACGACGCACAATGGTGACTAGTGTTGGAGATGGTTGGAAGAAAGTTAGTGGCGGCCAAACCAAAATGTGGCAGCAGTCCTTGAAGTCACTAACTTCTAGTCTGAGCCATGTTGGTAGATGCAGACTACTTGGTTGGGGCCGCGTGACTTTCGTAACCGATGGTTGGAGACTCTGTGTGACATGACTCAGAATCGATCACAATGGCGTCGGTGTATACACTCCCTGTTTTCCTTTAAACTAAGAGATTAAAATCACTTCATATCTTTCTTTCTACTAACTAATTCTTTCTTCCTATACTATATCCTTATATGCAGTATACGCAGTATACTCGTCTTTTTATTGATAGACGGATATCTTGCCTTCGCCAAAGGTGACGTAAGTTGGCAAAAGCCAAACAAGCTTTTCGAATCCGTGCTGAGATTTCGTCCGATACCAGCCCATTAGGGCTGATCAGACTTTCAAGATAAGTGAAGTTGTCGACGCGTTCGACTACTTTACTCCCTATCCTTAGTTCAGGTGTTGACGTAAGATAGTCCTGAAGCAACAACTTGCATTTAGAGGGAGAGAAGCGCATTCCAAACATTCTGGCATTATTGCTCTCTCGTCAAGTACTGACATTTTATATCAAATTACGGACGATAGTGACGTACAAAGTACACGAGTTCTGTCTTTTCTTACGTTGTCACAGAAGCCGATAACCTATTCTTGAACACATTGTATCTCGTAGCGTTCCAATCACTTGAAGCGTTGAAGAGCGCCATTAGAACTTATGAAAGAGCTATGTATTGCTATTATGTTGTTAGAGATTCTCATTTCAATAGAGTTCGGAAGTCGTATATTAAATTCGTATGCTGGAGAAATGCCGGTCGAACACTTAACGGTTCCTCTCAGCCGGGTAGACGAAGCGGGTAATTTGATTAGTGTTATAATTTATCATAAAGGAATTCGTGAACACTCAATATCCGGCCTTCATCTTTTGTAAGTCTATTGAAGGTTACTGGACTGTTGTTCACGGGAATGTGCATCACAATCACGAGTGCAATTCCCTAAGGTACGAAAGTAATTTTTGGATGCTCAAGTTAACGGAGGCTGAATTTGGAACAGTGCGACCACTTTTGATATCTGGGACAGCAGCATTCAATATTATGCACTTTGCTTACCAATCTTATGGAAAGCGCCTGAATGCTCAAGATGTTCTTAATATGCGCCACAAAGTGTTCTCACAGGTTAATCTCCCTAGTAAGCAATGTATCTATTTAAATTGTAAACGTTGGGTGATTACGCAAAATTGAAAGCTCACATCATGTCGCTTGGTGGGCTTTGTGATTACGAATTAGATGGAGATAATTGTCTGTTGTATTTCTTCTTCACAACTGTAGACCAAATGAATTTGTCAACTCGATTTTTTTATGTTGTTGGTTTTAATGTGACCTATAAAACCGATAACGAAAATTTATATTTGTATCAGGTTGTAGCACCGGATATGAATTTCATAGCAATACCTGTTTGTATTACATTTATAAGTCGCGAAACATCAATTTTGCTTTCTCAATTCTCAATTTGTGTCGCGTACACCTAATTCATATTGTGATAAAGACGGTAAGTTTTTCGTTGCTTGACATTAAGCCATTAACCGTCATTGTAGAGGCTACGATCAGAAACTATACAACTTTTCTTCCGTCTAATTTTCACTAGAAATGTGGAAAGGTAAATAAAAATATGTACTACAGTCTTTTGTAGTCTCCATAGTTTTCTTTCATTAATTGAAGCATCAGACGGAAATTTTTACCGACATGTGAGAGATCACTTGTTGCCTAAAAAGCACAAGTGGTCAAATGCTTTTCGACCCGCAACGATACTCCTGGGATAAAGTAATGCAAATTTCGTTGAGACAGCTCATCGAATTTCGAAGTTGCATAAGCTGGACAGAGAAACATCGGTGTTGAGATCTATATTCAGTGTGCTTCTTCGCACTGGATATTAGATGGATGCGCGAATCCAGAAATACTCTTCTGATTGTCATAATAAAACAATAATCGGTCGGGAGCCACTAATACGTCGTCTTCAGGAAAGACTTACACCAGCTGCATGTCAACTACTGAAGCGGCACTTGAGCACTCCTATCACTGAGGTCGTAATGTCGGTGGACTTGTCCAGGCACTTACACAGTCTCCAGTAATCCACTCAACTGTTCATGTGGTTTTTACATTGAAAACCGAATGCCATGTCGTCCCATTTTGGCCTACTGCACACACAGTAATACTGAAGTGAACACTCATTCAATTATTGATAGATGGTTGCAATTGGACAGCTACATCACCAGCATTGCGATTGATAATAACTTCCCTATCCAAGTAGGACAGGGAAGCGTAAGAAAATCGTTGTATGTATTAGTCAGGCGTATGTCCGAAAAGCAGTGTACTATAGTGTATAACAGTGGTTTACGGTAGGATGCCTCCAACGCCGTTGACCTTACCTGCAGCTACTGAGTTTCAGATCGATACCTCCATTTCCACTGATGTTGCAATGCCGTTGACCCAACAGACGGCAGTTACCAACTATCAAAATAATGTCGATATGGATGCAACGTTAAGCAATGACGAAGAAGAAACTGTTTCAATTAACTCAGAGTTCACTGAACGAGACTATGACAATGATGAAAACGCGTATGACAACAGACTTTTTGATATTTGCAATCTTGCGCAACCGCCACATGAAACTGCTGATGGAAGTGCTTGGATTTTTTTGTCCATGTGAAGCAATGTCTTATTTATTTTGTGCTTACGACCCATCACCACACGTCCATCGAATATACTGTCCCATGTGCGGCGCTATAACGGACTCATAGCAACGCCTTTGTTCATGAAATTCGGAACTGTTAAGAGAACGAGTAAAGGCCCTTTTCAGGGCCACCCACAATTTCATTTAAATTCTTTTGTTTCAACTCCTTATTTCCATGGCAAAGGTCAAGTGATGAAGCTATCAAAAATTCATTTTAGATTAATAATCATTATGTGATTATCGCTCACGTTTTCGTAAACGCTTTATCAAATATACGGTTTAAGTAAACGATTTCGTATGGAAGAAAATTTCATTTAATGAACACTAACCTGTCTAAAAATAGTATATGCAAAACTTATTCAGAATGTTTCAATGTTTTTCATATAGTTACGGTAGACGAATGTAGTACTACCAGTTCACTAGTACAACGACATTATGAACCGGTTGATGTTAGACCACCGTTGAAAACCTGAAAGCAGTGGACGGCCGTTTCGTCCTATTGCGCATCCACGATCCCGCTCACGGAATTCGAACTCAGGGCCTTCAGTCTCGCGCGCGAATGCTCAACCTGCTGGAGCGCTGAGCCTGCATCCAATGGTGTTAATGTCTAACCTCAACCAATCCACGACTCATGATCTCTCAACTATTAAAATTTAAAAAATGTGATTATCGTTCACGTAATAGTAATGTTAAAATGAAAATTCTCACATCCAATCAAAGCACTTGATACTGTTTCGATTTGAACTAATCAGATTACAAAGATGCACATTATACAGCCAATTAAAAAATTATTACAAGTGACAAAATGTTTGTTCATTATCACTTGAGCACACACTTGCAAAAACAGGTCCACCAATTCCAAAATCTTTTGATCACACCCTAAAATTTCTATTCAATAAGTGGTATAAAATCACAATGGCCGTGCAATTAATGTCAACCGACTAAAAGCAACAAATCGAAGGTCCGAAGGCGAAGTCGTACTGCTGACTGTACAAAGGTGTGACGGCAGTGAGGTGTTTCTTTCAGACAACCAGCATAACAGCGATGCTGCCTTCCCACAAGGAGAGGTGGGGTTAGAAAAGGCCGACCCTAAATATTCAACACCTCGCCTTATCCCATGGATATCCGTCTCCGACGGTATTTGTTATTTATTTATTTGAACACATAAATATTGGTACAAGAGGGCACCAAATATATATGCGCCACACAACAAGGTCTCAACAAGTATGGAGCTAACACGAAAATTACCCGCAGAAATATCGTGTGTGGCCGACCTCAAGCAGTTGTCCCTTAGACACTGCGGTCACTCCCTCAGGTCACTAAGACCACCTCCAATCCAATTTTCTTTTCAGGTACCCCCAGAAGAACCCTTCCACGGTGTGGGCAACTGGGAAGTGATAACCGCCCTCAAGACCACTGTATTCATAATCAACCTCCCTCTTCAATTCCTATTATTCCTCCTACCTCGACTTTCAACGCTAAACTTCCTCTTTCGGCTTCCTCGCTCCAAACTACACATTGGAGTTTTCAACGTACGCACACTATGTCAAATCGGTCAGCAGGCTCCCTTGGCTAAAACCCTAGAATCTTGTACCATTGATGTTTACTGTTTCTCCGAAACACGCATACAAGATCCTAGTGTGGTCATTCACTTGACCTCACCTCAGCAAAACGGAGAGCCGACGAGATGCAGATAGCTAAACGTTCAGACATAGTACTCGTAGCAGGTGACTTTAATGCCCAGGTAGGTAGCTTAAACCAAACAGAAAGACATTTATGTGGGCATTTTGGTATTCCGGCTCAGCAAATAGATAATGGTGATCGTCTGCTGCAATTATGCTCAGACAATCGTTTATTTTTAGCAAACACTAATTTTAAGAATAAGGAGAGACGTCTAACATGGCGACCCCCTGCACCAGACCAACGATGGACTCAAATAGACCATATTGCCATCAGTCATCGTTGGAGAGGGTCGATAGAAGATTGTCGCTCATTCTGGAATACCTGCTTGGACTCCGACCATGCTCTAATACGGGCACGCCTCTGCTTGTGCCTCACTGGACGCAGAAAAGTCGCACTAAAAGGACCCATTAGAATTGAATTGAGTGACGAGAAAACCAAAAGTAGGCTCCAGGAACAACCGAGGTCACACTTAGGTAGTTCTGAAAACGAGGCTGACCCAGATGTTGCTTGTAAAAATATACAATCAGCTGTGGAAATAGCAGTGACATCTGTTAGTGACTTAAACCAAAGTGTTACAAAACACCAATGGATTTCTTCTAAGTCTATTGCATTGATGGATTCTCGTAAACTCATTCCATCAGGCTCCGAACACGATGAAGACCGAAAACAAATCAGATCTAGGTTAGGCAAAAGTCTAAGGAATGACTGTGAGAAGTGGTGGGCAATGAAAGCCAAATAGATGGAATAGGCGGCGGCTATAGGGAACATAAGACAGCTCTACAAACTAATAAAAGAAACTGGAATTAATAATTCAAGTGTGAGTGAGACTATCTCGGAAAAAGATGACACTCTTATCTGCTCCCAGTTTAGACGTTTAGAACGATAGGTGGGACATTTTAAGGAGCAGTTCATCTGGCCTTTAGCTACTCTACAACTACCCTCCCTTCCCAGACAATGTGAATGGAACATTGAAGTAGGTCTCCCGACTCTATCTGAAGTATAAAAGGCTATAATTAATCTGAAACGAGGAAGAGCAGCTGGTCCAGATGGATTGGCGTCAGAAGTCTTCAAGGATGGTGGTCCAATTTTAGCAACTAGGTTGACTAATAGTTTATCTAAACTCTGGGAGTTGGACGTAATCCCATCTTACTGGTCACAATCACTTATCGTCCCAATACATAAGAAAGGGTCAAAATCATCCTGTGATAACCATAGAGGGATTAGTTTAACTAATATAGCATCTAAATTACTAGCCTCGATTGTTGTCGGACGCGTAACAAAGACTCGTGAACTGCAAACACGAGAGAGTCAAGCTGGCTTCAGACCTGGTCATGGCTGCATCGACCACATATTCACCATTCGTCAGGTTCTAGAACACAGACATACTTATCGGAGTCCGACAATGGTGGTCTTTCTTGACTTAAAAGCAGCATTTGACTCTGTAGACCGTGAGATTCTATGGCAGTGTCTGTCATTGAAAGGTGTACCCCAGAAGTACATAAACCTTGTGAAGGCTCTTTACTCGAACACTACTAGTCGAGTCAGGGCTTATAGCGAACTGTCATCTACTTTTGTAACCTCAAGTGGTGTCCGTCAAGGCTGTCCACTTGGTTGGGGTCTAACAAGTGAAGTCTCTGTAATCGATCATCAAATTTTTCTCAGAACTGATCCTTGGTTTCATTCATGCCGCGATTCTCATAAGCATGGGAGGAGATTACATAAATATATCGTTTCCCTCATCAACTTCTCACATTGATGAGTGTTAGAATTTCTCTTGTTTACGATTCACCTGCTTCTATTGCTTAGTAATCTTAAACACTACTTCACTCGACAAGTCCATTAATCAGAACACGGTTGAACAGGAACGTAATTATATTCCAAATAATACGTATTTCATGGTTGTACATGTTACAGGCTAATTTACTGATAGTTTACTGAACAATTCATTTTATTTTTAAAAGACTTTTATTTGTACATATCAGCCTGTAAGATGCCTTTTTAAAATTTATCTGTTTTCTAATTTACTGTGTGTAATATATCAGGTAATGAAAGCACATGATTGTATTTCAAATGAAGATGTGGCTATTAAAATTATCAAAAATAAACGTGCATTCACTAATCAAGCTCAAGTGGAAATTCGTTTGCTACGTGAAATGAATCATTTTGTTGAAGAAGCTGCTGAAACTGGGAAAGAACCACCACCTGGATCTAATTTGATTGGTGAGTTCTTCTCATTTTTGCCTTGTACATAAAATGATTTCATTGGTTCTTGTTTTCCATTTCATGAATAACCACTAATTTCACAGCAGAAATAATGATTTTAGTTGAGTTTTTTTCTCATTAAGAGACAGTGTTAAGTTAATAAATCATTTTGACTCTTTGATTGAATACGGTAAAATAGTAGTTTATTTCCAAGTTTGTTTATCATGATTGACTCAGTTAGAAAATTATCTGTTAGGGTATTTCTTTTTTATACAACTTTTCATATAACACATTTCAGAGTTGATGTACGCTTTTATCTGTTTATTTAGTAGTTAGTGCTATTATTCTGCTATATTTTGTGAAAAATCATAAATGCCCTGGTACGACCGAGGGTGGGGGAGAGTCCGCTCTCCCTCTCAAAATGCTCTCACGTAGCTGTGCGTATACAGCCGTTGCCAGGGAAGTTCTACTAACTGCCTTCTCATGGGGGGGGGTGTTGTTTACGAAATTTGGAGGATGAAAAGCGAACGTCCGGTGCCTTATCCTGGTTGCTGAATACGTAGGATCCACCTAGGAGAGTTGGGAAACCCTTATTCCAAACCAATGGTGTACATGGAGTCCAGTATCCTGAAGGAACAAATGGCGTATGAACTAGTCGTTGGTCATCAGCTACCATAGGACTGCAGCTCCTGACGTTTCTCCGCTGCCTTGTGGATCAGACCTTTAGATCGAAGGCTCCAGGCGTGGCCCCCTTATATAAACCACCTGCCTCGGTTTGGGTACCCAGGCATTATCACAGCCCACTCACAAATCAAGTGACTTGTGTGGTGCATATGTATTCGGTTCCCCTTTGTGCTAATAGTTATGTGTTCAAATAAATAAATAAAAATAAATGGGTTTATTAGACCCATATATATTCATATCTCTCCATTAGTTCAATACTTTTAAGTTTCGTTTTAATCATTTCTAATTATAACTACTCTATTTTGTGAAACACATTTCAGTGTGCTTTTATATGAAGTTTTCGAAAGGTGATTTCGTTTTTGATATGATGAGTTACACTAGCGAACGGTACAACTGTCTATATAGCGTGAAATAATTATAAGAAGCTTTATTTGCTTAATAACTATATATGCCGTACATAGAAGCTTTATGATTATATTTGGCGTTTTAATTCACCCTAACTAAATGTTACCACCAGTAATTTCATCCAGAATATGTGTATTTTCGTCCTTTGGTACAATCTTGAGTTACGTGAGTGAGCATTAAAAAACGAGTAATCGATATTGTAATTCATACATACTTCTCTTCTTGGAATCTCACCAACCGGCCATTTAATATTTCCTTTTAATCACAACCATGAAGTTGTAATTCTCCCAATTTGATTCTATTACCTTTCTTTGATTATAGCTTTGGAATAGGACTTTCCAGCTAGATAGAATCGATTTTTGTATTAACATTTTAGAATGTAACTATTTAACAGCTCTCAGCAACTTTTCATCTGGAGTTTTCTTATTCTGTCTTTGCATCGACGTTTTAATCATGTGGCTTTGAGCGTACTGCCATCAACGTTTTAACCGATAATTAGTTTTCACGTCTAACATTTTCAAAATACGATGGCTAAATGACACTTAATCCCTCCAGTTTTATTCGGTCCCAATAAAATCCAAATAATCTTCAAGTGATCTTGAAACTCCATATATAACAGTCAAGACATATCTATCTCATAGTTGGGAAGAATCATAGTTCTTGGATTTCTATTTCTATACTAACCAAGGGTCCTTACATGCTAACATTTATTATTATATTGTAGGCAGTTTGTTAATAGCTAAAATTCTATTGTACTAATTTTGCTTATGTTCTTTTCTTTTTTCTTCTGTCAGTTCGTTTACTTACTCATTTCACATTCAGAGGTCATTTGTGTCTAGTATTCGAGTTACTTTCATACAATTTGTATGATCTTTTAAGAAATACAAATTTTCATGGTGTTTCATTGGGTTTAACAAGAAAATTCGCTCAACAATTATGCTGTGCATTAGATTTTTTATCTAGACCTGAATTACAAATCATACATTGTGATTTAAAACCGGAAAACATTCTACTTGTCAATCCTAAACGCTCAACCATAAAATTAGTGGATTTCGGAAGCTCTTGTCATATGAATGAGAAGATTTATCAATATATCCAATCACGCTATTATCGTTCGCCAGATGTTCTACTAGGATTAGATTATACAATGAGTATTGATATGTGGTCTCTGGGATGTATTCTAGTTGAATTACATACTGGGGAACCTTTATTCGCTGGACAAAATGAGGTGAGTTTCTTGACTATGTTCCATTATCCGTTTCCAATTTTTCTCATCTTGTATTTATATCTAGTTACTTTACTAGTCGAACATTATCCCCAATAATCGTCTCTCCATGTCTAATTAGCACACATACTTACAGCATAGAATAAATGTCGTCACGTGAATAACGAAACCTGAGTTCTACATGCATGTTTATAGGAACAGGGCATATATCCTTGATTTATTATTCCAACGTTGACTAGTGAATTGATTCGAAAAGCTGTTGCGTTGATTTTACAACTTTAGTATACTATTTCTTAAAACCAAAAGGTTTGTCTTGATTTCAAATGTAGAAATTAAAAAGTGTAAAGGATTTAGTGGTAGGATTGTATGAAGTGATTATTAAAAGTTATCCGAAAAGCGAGGTTATAATGAGCACTGGGGACAAAGTTGTCACTTTCATGCTGTTATTAGGTGGTAAATGTAAATATCGCGTGTAATTTGACTTTTGTCCTATTGATTGCTCGTATCAAACTGTCTCTTAATAAGCCATTTAATATTTTTTTAAAGGGATATGTGATGTTTATCATAAATCGAACTCATCCACGTTTATGAAAGAGGTTTCTCGATAGTCTGTTTACAACCACTTCAAACTATAGTAATCATTATACTTCTGACACTACAGGACGTTCGTAAGAATGCATTCAATACTTTTTTGTTATTACCTACCTATCTGTAAAACATATTTTGTACTGAAAGTTAATTTTATCATTCTTCAACAGAATACCGTCAGATAAATTATACTAATTCGCTTTTGAGCTCCAAATGCATTAACTTAACTATTCATTCAATATCGTTTAAAAGTTAGAAACATAATGTATTTTTCATTTGGTTATTGTCAGGTTGGACAAATGATGAAAATTATTGAAGTTCTAGGTATGCCACCCCGGTTACTACTAGAAAAAAGTCGTCGCTGGCATGTATTTTTTGAACGAACAGTTGATCGCACTTATGTACCTAAAGTAAGTTTGTCAAATGAAAGTTTTTCTTCTCACATTGAAACTGGTCTTTTACGATAATTTTTCCTGCATTAACATACTATTTTTTTTATTCTAAAGCTGGAAAAATTTACCCTGAACTCAATATATCTATCTTTAAGACAATTGCTAAAACTAATGTATATCGTAAGTTTACACCGTAATATCTTGTACGTTAAACCAAGGTGATCTAAGGATTGATTAAATTACCCACTTACTCAAGTCACTATTTTGAAATATTGGACTATTAATAACTCATTTCCGTTTATTTGAATTTCAGCTATAATTATGATTAATTATTACATGATACAACGTAGATACCAATTGTAATACCAAAAATATGAAAGTTATCTGAGCATGAGAACAGTGGGTTAGTTTAGTTGAGGTTAGATGAGAAAACGTTTAGATTAACTATTCATAAAATATTAACATAAGGTTATCACAAGTCATCTTAATAATTTTTCGAAATTCTGTAGTTCGCTTACTCCAATGGAACTACACATTACCGCGAAAAAGAATAGTTAATTAGTATGCTCTTTTCTTTCACTTGTTCTCTGATTTTTTGGGACGCGTGGTTTATTTTATCTGATACTCATTAAATTTAGTGGAGATTCCAGATCCTTTTACTCAACAGATTCATTATCTGCACGTTCATAAATCACCTTCATACATAATAATCTTTATCCATCTCACGTTTTCAAGCCCGTCTATTGGCTCGAAGTCAGCTATTTTTAGATGACTAAGCACACTACTTATAAGTAGGTAAATGTTTCGTAAAAATATTATTTTGGTACTACTTTGAACTGGATGTCAGCTACATATTATGTATCACTTGTTAGTTAACCATTACTCTCACAATTGATTGATCACTGGGTGGTGATCAATCTCATGCTTGTCTAGTCCTTATAAGTGCAGATCGAATGCTATCGATCATGTTGCAATGTGGCCACCAGTCTAGGTGACTCAACACTGCGGGCACTATGTATTGAGATTTAGATGGTGGTTGGAGGTAGTCAACAGGAAACCCTGGACCCGGGTTTCGTGCTACTTGGCACTCGTCAGCAAGGTGTACCTGTAATCTTGAGGGAACTGGTGCTCCCTGGCGGATTCGATCTCGTGTCACCCAGCTTCACAGTCAGAGACGTTACCACCGAGCTATCCGAGCCGTGACTAACCTCCTGTAGGACTGAGATGTAATCACAATTGATTGATCACTGGGTGGTGATCAATCTCATGCTTGTCTAGTCCTTATAAGTGCAGATCGAATGCTATCGATCATGTTGCAATGTGGCCACCAGTCTAGGTGACTCAACACAGCGGGCACTAATAAGGACTAGACAAGCATGACATTGATCACCACCCAGTGATCAATCAATTGTGATTACATCTCAGTCCTACAGGAGGTTAGTCACGGCTCGGATAGCTCAGTGGTAACGTCTCTGACTGTGAAGCTGGGTGACACGAGATCGAATCCGCCAGGGAGCACCAGTTCCCTCAAGATTACAGGTACACCTTGCTGACGAGTGCCAAGTAGCACGAAACCCGGGTCCAGGGTTTCCTGTTGACTACCTCCAACCACCATCTAAATCTTAACCATTACTCTACATAATCAACCATTCTACAGTTTGAAAAACATTATATATATTTATATTTTACATATTAGCTTAATTCCTTTCTACTCTCATTAACATAGGCTGCTTGCCAGCAACCAGGTAGTCGTCGTCTTTCCGAAATTTTGGGTGTCAATACTGGAGGACCACGTGGGCGACGTTTACATGAATCTGGTCACACCCCAATGGACTACAGCATATTCTTGGAGTTTGTACTGCGAATGCTTACTTTCGATCCAGCTCGACGCATTAGTCCTGCTGCAGCATTAGGTCACCGGTTTTTTCGACGTTCAAATTCAAATCCAGTGCCTTCTGGTGCCAACGTACTACAATCGGGTCAGTGTGATTCTGTTTCAAACGCTCCAGGTGTGTTTTATTTGAAATCAACTAATTAATTGCTGAGTGTATTTGTTTTCCGGCAACCCATTTTTGTCTTAAGTCGTTTGCTAAATGATCAATCGTCATTAGAATATGGCATCTTTGGTATTGATTAAAAGTGGATTTTATATAATCTTTCTTAATAAACAAACTATTATTGTAAAAGAAACATAACAGTTCGTTTTTGACATTTTCTCCGGTTGTTTCAAATGTATTTATCTTATTTGATACTCTATAGTAGTATTTGATATGGTTATATGGTGGTGGTGGTAGTAGTAGTAGCAGTTATAATAATAATAATAATAATGGATAGTGTTATAATTTAGATGTCGAGATTAATTCAGTGTTCACATTCACATATTTTAATACATTAAGTTGGCGTGATTGTTCATTTAAAAAGGCTTCAAGTGACTACTATACATTAAAATTTGGGATGGCATGACACTGATGTGAAATTTCTTTTAATGCTCATATTGAAATCCCGTAATGCTGTTTACGTGTGATTGCTTGATTTATTTATTCGCATCCATAGTAGTTTTTTTTAATAATTCTAAATTCTCTAACCTAAAAATCGAGTCTATTTTATTGTATGAATGATATTAAGTTCATATTTACTTAAATTCTTCGTATTAGACTAAGGCATAATAACATTAAATCTCGTTGCACAAAATGTTTGTCATTTTAAAATATCACTTGATGTTCAGAGTTATCAATTAAAAAGGAAAAAGTCGGAGACGAAGAAACGTAAATAAACAGTGCGTTTTGTTTTTAAGGCCGTAAAACAACTTACAACTTTCAAATATTGATTTTAACACATCAAGCATACTAGTTACTTTCGTACACAGCCTGAAAGTAAGCATAAGCAATTTCGTAAATTTTTAGTTAGATTTTAATCTTATCATTTTAGCTTTTGCAAACTACTGTTGAACCAGTGGATAGTATACATCGTAGAAAGGAGCCATTTTCTGTTGGGTAGCGTATGTTCTAGGCGCATTATCTCTGGACTGAACTCACAAACTCATCTACTGATATACTTTTTCTGCCTAAACGTTTGCCTCAAATGTCAATATTATACACATATTTTTCTGCCATTAAGCAGTGATTAAAATATGCACATGATCAAACGTATAAAATTGTCCGTTGTTAACGCTTATGTTATTCAGCTATAAATTACAACGACTTATTGCAGTGTTCTTAAAATATCTTTGTCCGTACAGACGTTCAAATGTTAAATTGATTGAATTTACTGAATCAGAACTGTTCCATTTTGAATACAGTTAGCAAAAGAATTTCTATCTCTACTTCTCATCAACGACGTAAATCTCGCAAAGTTCACGATGCTTCAAAATCAAAGTCTATTAGAACTCATCGATTTATGCTTAGCAACATACTTTCAATTCAGCAACAAAATCTACAGGCAAACAAAAGGGACACCGATGGGACCTCCAATATCAGAACTTATCGCCGAAGCAGTGATGCAGAAACTAGAAGCCCCTATCTTACCAGTGATCAAGCTAAAAATTTGGATTCGTTTTGTGGACGACACATTCGCTATCGTCAAAAAAGAGGATCTGGAAAACACCTATAGGCTGACTAACAACGTCTTCAATGACATCAAGTTCACAATGGAACAGGAGTCAAACGACAAACTATCATTCTTGGATAAATTAATCACCAGAACCGACACAGGCAAACTGGAGACTCAATTGTATAGGAGGCCGACCCACACCGATCGAATCCCCAACTACAATAGCAACAACCTTAAATTAACTGCGTACAAACCTTGTTCAAGAGGGCAAGGACACACTGCAACACAATTACAGCACGAAAAAATGAAGAAAAATACTTGAAGACCATCCTTCAAAAGAACGGCTACCCAATCAACATCAAAAAATACCAGCCTCACACATCATCATAAACAAAGTCAATCATAGAAATCAATAAAAGGATCACCCTACCATACATAAAAGGCATATCAGAAACGACAACGAGACTGCTGAAAACCTTCGGAATAGGTGTTGCGCACATACTAACAAAATCCATACAATCAATCCTATGCAAACCAAAGAATGAAATAGAAAAAGAAGACAAACCAAATATCATCTACAAAATAAATTGTGCGAACTGCAAAAAACACTACATCGGACGAAGCAGACGCTCGCTTCACCTTCGCCTGCATGAACATCAATTAGTAGTCAAACGCCATGACATGTTCTCGCTTATATCAATGGATGTAGACAAATGCGGACACTCATTTGACTGGAAAAATGCGGAGACCCAGGAGCAGTCGTTCATGATCCATCCAGTGATCCAGAAATGTCCGTTTCAGAGACATGCCCTGTCGTGGGCTCAAATCTCATCGCGTCCGAAACACTGTACAAACACTGGGTTGTCCAGCTCACAGGAAGACGATGTCATATTAAATGCTCATAAATGTATTGCAGTACCCGTCCACAAAGAAACAGTAAACAAATCGGGCAGTATACTGAATCCAGCTGTTCCAAATGGTCCTCATCATTCTGCAGTAAAAGTGTCTGAGGGATCATATTGTCGAAATTCCGTTTTACCAGAAAATATGACATGCATCAAATAATAGTCAGAATATTCGTAGTTTTAACGTCGGTGATAAAGTGCTCGTCAAATCATACATTGGGAAAAATCGTTGGGAACCGGGAGTCATTGAGAAGAGAATGAAGAATGTTTTATACAAAGTGCGTGGGGCTTTCGGAATGTGGATTAGACAAATTAATCAAATACACAGAGAGAAAAGGACTCTAGACAGGATAGATAGTCAAGTGAGGCTTCCGCTGGATATAATTACAGATACTCCAATGACAGGAACCCCAACAGATACTCATAGACGCCGGATATCAAGAAAGTCCGAACGCCGCAGGAAACCAGTTATAAAGTTGCAAGTAGACCAGAAGAAGAGGTTTTATTTTTTGAAAGAGGGGAGGTGTTGGGGTGATCCAGAAAATTGCTTGCAAAAGACAAGCAAACATCAAGAAACACTAAGAAGCGTTTCGTCCAATCGGCGTTCACTTGGAGTCTTGGCCAGAAATATCAAGGACACGAAGCGTCACATGCAGAGGCTCTGATTGGTTGGCTGCTACACTGCTACTATGTTTAGTAGCATTCCAGAATATTCCAGTGACCCAGGGACACTTAAAATATTATAAAAACCCTATATTTTCTGTAATAAAATGAACCTGGGAGTAAACTACTTCTCGCATACTTTGAGTCTTCTCTCTCGTGTTCAGGTCGCTGTATAGTTCTAGCTTGGGGGTTACAGAATAGCTTAGGATACGAATATAGCGTTCAAATCCGCAAGACTTATCAGTGGCGACGGGGATGAAAACTATTATTAATATTTCCTTGGAGCAACTAGAAGCCTATATGGCGCATCAAGAGAAGAGGTTTGAACAATCTCAAATTAGAATCATGGAAGCCATGATTCAGAAATTTTGCCTGTCCCAGCAGAACCCTGCTTTCAGTGAATCATAAATATCCCATACTGATTCAATCAATAATGCCATCCACGAATTTAATTTTGATGGTGTAGCAGGTATAACTTTTGATTCTTGGTTTAAGAAGTATGAAGATTTGTTGTATATTGATCGTTGCAAACTGGATGACCCCTCAAAAGCCAGAATACTTCTGAGAAAACTTGGGACTATGGAACACGAACGCTATAGCAACTTCATTCTCCCAAAGAATCCACGAGACTTTAGTTTTGATGAAACAGTTAGAACCCTGTCTCAAATCTTTGGAGAACAATCATCTCTATTTAATATCCGTTATCAGTGCTTGAAAATAACGAAAGAACCAGGAGATGACTGGGTGATGCATGCAGGGATTGTGAACGGGGAATGTGAGAAGTTCAAATTGTCTTCCATGACTGAAGACCAATTTAAATGTCTAGTATTTATCTGTAGCCTGCATTCACCTGAGGATGCTGACATCCGAACGAGAATCCTAAGCAAGCTAGAACACTGCCCCAACATGACGCTGCAGGAAGTAGCTACCGAATGTCAAAGGTTAGTGAATCTGAAGCATGATGCCTCGATGGTAAAGAACGGCAACCGGTTCCTTCATGTCAATGCAGTCGAGAAGAAAGTCTCACGAGGTTCCAGCACTCAGAATTACCGTAATGAAAGCAACAAGCCATCATCCCCATGCTGGTTATGTGGTGGTTGGCACTCCAAAAGGTTTTGTCCGTTTAAGAATCATCGTTGTAATATGCGTTCCAGAAAAGGGCACAAAGAAAGTCATTGCAAAACCCGAAAACGCCGTCAACCGAAAGAGTATTCTAAAAGATTCAAGCTACAAACAGCTAAAGTAACGGTAGCTCTTCACAAAGCTGGCTCACATAACCATAGAAAGTATGTTTCTCTTAAGATTAATGGTTATGATGCCCGCTTACAGTTAGATACAGCCTCTGATATAACGCTTATAAGCAGGAGAACGTGGGAGAAAATTGGGAGACCGAAAGTATATTCAACTCATCAATTAGCACATAGTGCATCCGGCGGAATTCTAAACATTGCTGATGAGAGTCGTTGTGAAGTCACTTTCCAGTTGTTGTGTCTTGTCGATTGCAGACTAGACGCGCAGCGAATTATCGATCGATCAATGACACGTAAAACATGCACAAATGACCTAGAGTCCCGATTGGCCCTGCTTCGCTGTCTAGCCCAGCCAGTTGAGTCCAGAACACAAGTCTCACCCTCTGAGATATGAATCATCATATCTCAAACATAATCTGTTTATATACCAATCAGGCGGACCACATCGTACCATAAAATAGAAAACAACATTTGTACAATATTTAACTAGTGAAGTAAATATTGACCAATAGGAAATGTCAATTTAAAGTCCAAGGACACCATTAGACTTAACATGATAATTATTGGTATATTTTTCCGAATATCCCAACACCTCTTTTTTTTGAAAATCCGGATTTTAAAATTCTTCGCGTTCATCCTCCCCCGCGAAATAATGTTGGGTCCTCATATACCCAAGTAACAGTTAGTCTGATTCTATTTAAAGCATATTTCCCGCATTGAGTAGACAGTCCACTAGAACTGACTAAATGGTGAGGATCAACGACACTAGATATGAGGTCATTAAGGTTTGATTCTTGTGAAACATATTCATCAGATCTCTTCAAAATTCCATTAGCGGATAATAGATCACTAAAATAAACAGCATCCATCAAAATTTTATTGGATTTCTGACCAAGACTCCAAGTGACCGCTGATTGGACGAAACGCTTCTTAGTGTTTCCTGATGCTTGCTTGTCTTTTGCGAGCAATTTTCTGGATCACCCCAACATTTACCAATTAATCAGGGAAATTATACACAAACATAGGAACAAAAACCAAACCAATGGGAGATATAAGCAAAACAAAAAGTAAACAATGACAGGTTTAAGGTCAACAAGAACCAATCAATATCGAGGTATACAGGATAAGCTGTGAACCATATGTGGAGAAATTTGAACACTTCACTTCTACCTGAAGTTTGTGCTGATGATGTCGTTCAGAAGAACGATGAAAGTTCCACGACTAAACCATCCAGCTCAGAGAACAAAACTATCAAAATCATCCACCTGAACTACAAATCTTCTACACACACTAACGTAACATACTTGGAATAAATTTGTATATTTGTATCTATTCACACATTGAATGTGAAAACTTTTTTTCAGATTTAATTAGTGATAATTCTTGACTGTAAGTAGTTACAACTGAGTTCAAGGTGTATGATATCAAATTTTATTATCTTATTCCCTAATTATTTCCCTTGAGTAGTAGTAATAACAACAAATGCTAGAAAACTTAGTTCATCTATACCACCATTAAACTAATGTCAGTCTTTTTTATTCACTTTATTCACTATAATTATGTTAAGTAATTCATGATTGTAATACCAAACACTATGGATACACAATCTTTATTATATTTAAGCGAAACTTGATTGGATTGCATAGAATTATTAATAAATTAGATCCCTTTAGAGAAAGCATTTGCCAATAAATGTAAATGTATAATTAAAACACATTATAACCAAACACTAAATAGAAGAATACAGTTCTATTGTAAATTCAAAAAGTATAGCAAGACTAAAGGTGTAAAAAGCTTATGAAATGGTAAAAAAAAATGCAAGAATTCAGAAAAAATGACATTTTCATATATATATTCTGAAGGTACTTGAAAGAAAGTCTTTATACCTAGTTTCATGCTGTTTACCTCTGTCAACAACTTGTATTTACCATGTTTGAAAAAATCTCTTCCTCCTTATAAAGAATATTCAAACCTGCATCATGCATCAATGGGATTCAATTTACATAAAAGACTAGACAGGAGCATGATATATCAGTGACTACTCAGTGATGAATAAGAGTGAATTTGTTTTGAGGAAGGAGTATATATTTCATCATTACTGCAGTTAATCACCTTTCAACCATGTCACACCTTAGTCGTTAATCTCCATTCTAACTGTCCTAGACTCCAATCTTAAATCTTGTATTTCATTGTTGTTCTAAGCGTCCGGCCACACTTCTATTTCATCCAACTTAGTGATATAAGTAGTAGTAGAAATTGTGAAACACTTTAAGCATCAAAATTAATGCAAACTTACGGTATTGTGTAAATATGAGTTTTGCTTCCCTTACCGAAACAACGAATGTACATTCCATGTAAAATAGTATTTCTATAAAAACCGAGCCAATTATATATGATTAATTCATCTCAAACATTAGAAGAATAATTTATGTATTAGGATATTGGTCCCACTAGTTGTCACCGTTTCTCATCAATACATAAACTTATAGCGAACAAAATATTCACTCTGGATGTGTTTACAATTTTAACTATTTGGGACACTATCCAATTGGAGCTACACTTCTAGGATCCTATCAGTCAATGATCATTATCACATAATTAAACCCGAACTATATTTACCTGAATTGGCTACACACCCATTGAGAAGTAAAATCTGTCCATTAGACTACAGTTTTATGCCTTGCGGCTGAATAGTGTTTTGTTAAAACCCGCTTAGATTTTTGGATTATGAGACTCGAACCCTCCGAACGTCAACATATCCACTCAATTATTGAATCCAAATAGCCACTATTTCCATCAACGAGTATGATGCGTATTCGTAGAGGTTTGTATCATTCAAATATAAAAATAATCGTAAAAAAGTCCATATCTAAATAATCCACCTCAGATACACATATGTCAACAGCAGAACAATACCAAACCCTTATGAATAAACGATCCGTTTATATTTTTATGAAAATTATAAGTACACCTTAAATCCATTCTCGACAACCGGTCAGTCTCTATTCCTTATGAGTGAAGCAGACTTTTGAATCTACTTTGGTGTATTCATATTTTTTATTTCTATCCTATTTTAGTTCTAGTTTGTCCCCCTCCTAACCATTGGGCCAATTTTGTCGATAATCCAACATCTAATCTAGTGCATAATCATTTGAATAACTTACGAGTTTCTGGACACTCTGGTGTTGGTTTGGTCAATCGAACAACTGAACATTTAGAACTCATGCGGATTCAACAACAACCCATGCGAAGTGCAGTCACTGGTTCTGTTATGGTTTCACAGCCTCGCTCCATCCCAATTATATCTAATGATGGTGTGATAACACAAATTGCTGAACCGCTCTCACCTCTTTTATATGGATATCACGGACCATTTCATGTTCATTCTAATCCAGGTCCTCTACCTCTTCAAATTTCTCGTGTCAACCCAACGCACCTTATGCAAGGCGTTCATTGCTTACCCTCGGTAAACCAAACACATACTATGCCACCCACAGCAATTTCAACTACTTTTACCGATTCAACTCACTTTCATCATCCATATTATATCGAATCTGGAATGTATGCTTATCCTCAACAACCTATCCAATTAACATGGATCAGTGGTTTAGGTGAACATCATTCAACTAGTTCTACCGCATGTCTTACATCGCCTGATATAATGAATGTAGCTTCTGCTTCTCCCGGAGTTTGGCGTTAAATTCCAAGACGAAAAACAAAGGGTAACAGTAATAGGTTTGCTAATGCATTGAAAATTTTCCATTATTTCTTATTCGCCTCAAAAAATAGCCGTTCTGTGATGCGAATCAACATGTCCACAATCAAAAATATATTCATTGGGTTTTGTTTTAACTCATGTATATGCATCTGACGATATACCATATATATATATATATATATATATATATATATATATATATATATATATATATATATATATATATGATTCTTTGCAAAATCTTCCCTTACCGGTTTTCCATTGTACAGTCATTTTTGTCTGTTTTACAATTTTGTTTCTCTTCTTTTCTATAATTCGGATGTGCGTGGTATCTGTGTTTTATGTTCAAATCTCAAAATATTCATTTACTCTCTTTTAACTGTGATTTTGCTGTGACACTCGCACATTGTACTACTGAATATAAATTACTTTTATCCCAAACAATTAAGAAACTGACTAACAGATATTTCCACATTTAATGTTACTGTATACAAACACATATGTAATTCATCATAGTAATATTATTTTTAAAAAAATTACATGTTATGCATTGATGCTCCTTTATTCGAATATTAAAAATTATTCGTTTACAATGTGTGCATTAGGTAAGTGCATTTGAATGCTTTGAAATTCCCGACTTACGATTATAGAAGATGTTGCATTCAGAATCAAACATTGATATGAGTGCACCATTTTCTAATATATTTGAGTTATATAGCATATACGTATTCGTGTATACACAAGCTTTGAGCAAATCTAGGTAGAACAGATTCCCTTACTTCCACAATTTTTTATGATTCCTTATATTATCATATCTTAGTTCTTTTCTCTGTTGAATTGAATTGATTGTCTAATCGAGTATGTTTTATGTTGATCTGTTTCTTTATTTCGTTGGTTTTTTTACGTCAATGCGTACAAATATGTACCACTTACATTCCTGTTTACGGAGACAGAAAATATTTGAAAACTAACCCCCCTTCAGCTGAAGTAAAAAAAAGAACCTTAACCATTTCGTGATATGTATCTTTTATCCATCCATATTCTCCCGGAACCCTATTGTGTATGTCCGTGAACATACAGATGTCTTTGTGTTCGCGTGTGTACATTCTCTATTCTGCAAATATTCTAGTTAATGAATCTAAAACTATTCAGGAATAACAACTGATTTTTTCCGTGCAGTATAAAGGAAATGCTTCTATTTGATTTGTGGTGATTTTTCTTACATTACTTCTAATTATCATAAAATGTCGTTCTTGTTTCTTTTTTTGAGGGGTAATCGATAATCTTTTATATAATCTGCGCATAATCAACATAGTTATATCGACCCACTTTGCCATACTACGTAAACGTAACGCGATGAAATTCATAAAATAAATAACAAAAGGTTCGGGATAATTGTAGTATTAGTAATAATGTAATAGACTAAACAGAGAATATGATTTAAGGAGAAATTAAATAAAGGATTAGTAAGTATGAACTAATACTGGAACTCAAGGGTGACGAGTGCATCTGTGCCACTTTGACTGATGTTCAAATATATCACCTTAGTTCTTCAACCATTGTACAAAAGTATCCTGTGGACCTCAAATGGTTGGTCTACATCTATCAACATGGACAAGATCGACAATCAGTGGGCTAATAGTATATCTTTGTTTGACCGGTTTTGGCTCTCTCCCAATCTACACCATCCAACACTGGAAGTCGAGATAAGTGGTGACTAAGCATGCGTAACACCTGAGTCGATCGAATTCCATAACCTTATCAACCGACCTGCCATATCATTTTATTATCCTACATCTAACCTCAGTGTTAACCACTCACTTGTTCCTCCGCACACGAGTTTTCTAAAAATTTCAAATACTAATGACCTCCGTTTGTCGTCTACTTCCAAAGATCACCTTTCACAGCCACGAGATAAAAACTGCGAACTATAAACTGGAAATAATATCACCTAGAAATCTAAATCAAAAATATTTTGGTTGTGAAACTAATCACTAGATAAGACTACGATATAAGTTTTTTCAATTAGTTGGAGTTACTATTCGAATCGCATCAGTCCTTTATATTATGCTTTGATTCATATACCTTTATTTATTAGAATACATAAAAAACGGTACAAGGGGGCACCAAATACATTTGAGCCACGCAATAACAATGAGGTTGTGAAGAGATAGAGAGTGTAAAGTGCGTATAATAAAAGAAGAACAGAAATTAGTGTACAAGAGTGAGGTAACAATAATAAGAGAAACAGTTCAGTTAGCAAACATAAACAGAAAGATTACTTTCAGTCAAAGAAATTACATTCATTTTTATTTAAAAAATTATAGCAGAATCGCCACGGGCTTCCATTTTGAGCCGTATCCGATAACTTATAAAGCCATTGTGTTGCACCATCTCCTGAACCCTAATCCGTGAGTCGACCGACCGAACCCAGTCCTGTACAGTTTTCTTTCATATCACGACACCATGTCACACACTGACCATCTCCACTTTATCCAACCGGTCCCAGCCTCGGCAAATAATGCACATCGTGGGATTCTCTGAGATAAGATTCGTAGTCTATGTTTAAAGACAGTGACACTGATTGAATTTTCGTCACTGTTCCCGAACACACGACACCGGACCTCTACATTATTAACATGGTGTTGCCACTTGATATAATTAATCCTTAGGATGATCAAATACATAGAGTCGTTCAAAAGTTTCAACTCGGGGAGGTCAGATCTCACAAACAGAGCGAAACTGCTCTCACAAACGCATTGTTTATCCGTTCCTTTACAGTCAGACTAACATCACGAATACTCTAAAGGTGGCCTTGATTGGCATATGCCGCTCTGGCTTTCACCTAACGTGAATTGATCTCGTCACTCACGCCACCACCAGCACTTACACAGGTACACGAACTCCTCACCTACTTCCATCCGCTCACTACCCAGGGTGTTTGCGGTATTAGGGTCCTACCAGTCCTATTAAAGTACTCTGCACTTGGAAGGTGTAAAGTACACAACATACCTATGGACACCGATTTTCAACTGATTAAGTGCGGATTGCATGGCTTGGGTATCATGGCACAGCAACACTATCATCCGCATTCTTAAGGTCAGAAAGCCCTTCTCCAGACCACCACCATTACCTACATTCATCAGAGCTGTTCCCAGAACCTCATCGATGTGAAATTTGGACAGAGGTCGTGAGATTAAGCAACCCTGACCAACCTCACTGCTTGAATAAAACAAGGGAGAGAGGCGGTTGTATCCCCTCACTTCTCAGGTGTTGGTATATAGGACTTTCAATGTGTTAATAAACTTCTCAAGCACACCCTTCTTCAATAGACAATCCTAGAGAACAGCCAAGTCCAACAAGCCGAAGCCAGCCCTAATGTCAAAAAACACTACAATTTTTGGCCTGTGATAAGTATGACAGTGTTCTTACATTTGGCCGAGGGTGGAGATATGGTCAACACATCCTCGACCAGAACTAAAACCAGCCTACTACTCATGAGTCAACCTTTCCCATGTTTTGAACAGTGTACGAAGTATGACGGAAGCCAATAGTCTGGACGCAATCGGAACTAGACTTATCTACCGATAGTTGCTGCAGAAGCAATGTGAATCCTTTCAACAGACATGAACAACCATTGACCCATTCCACGATGTTGGAGCACTCCCTAATTGCTAGACCTTTGTAAATAGCTCAGATCCATAACCAGAAAGTCACCACCATCTTTAAAAACTGCCGGAGGTAAGTCGTCTGCGCCTGGTGATTTGTGGCGCCTCAAGAGTTTGAGTTGCTTGCGTAATTCCGCCTCGTCAGATAGATCAGTCGTCACAGACCACGGGGGCAGGATGATCTGATCGATATTGCCGAGGCAGCAGACCAGTTGAACTGCTCTTGGAAAAATTCTGCCCATCATCCATTACGTTGGTAGACGTTAGTGATTGGCATTCCGTCATCGCAGATTGTTTCACTCACACCAGACTTCTTGCTGCCATTGACTCAGATGAGTTGAAAGAGCTTCAGGAATTTGGCAGACAGCCTCTGCTTTCAACTCGTTGGCACGTTCCTACCACCCGGCTTCTCGGTCCTTACGCAAGCTTTGCACAACTTCATTACATAACAGTTCCCGTTGGTGGTCAAACTCGCGGTCACTCGGAGTAGACCGACGTGCTTCAATAAGTTGTAAGGATCCTGAAGAACCCCAGCGCTTATAAGCTGGAGGTTTCGCGAAGACGCAAACAAGTTTACTCGCTATTTTCATGGCGTCATGCAGTTGTAACCTATGCTGATCTATACTTTTCGGTGGCCTGTTAGCTAGCCTTGAACCTAGCTCGGTTTGATATTTGGTTGCAACAGAAGCTGCGACCAATTTGCTGACATCGATCCATTTAAGACGACGAATTTGTTGGCCACTGAAATGTAAGGTAAGATTAGCCTAAACAAGGGCATGATCGGAGTCCAGATCAGTACTTCAAAAGGAGCGGCAGTCTTGTGCACAATCACGTCAGCGGTAGCTGATCACGATGTTCTGAATCTATTATCATTAGTGTCTTTATCCAATAATTTATTTTTGGTACAATATAGAATCCTCAGCACAAAGTATTTCAACAATTCTCCCTTTCTTATCTCTTGATAGACCCTTGCAATAAATAATAAGTGGTCGCTAGTTAGATGTTAACAGTTCAGGAACCAACATCTGATTAATGTATATTATTTTCAATGCATATTACTAGCAACTACAATCTCTCTGATTGGGATTTTTGATAACTTATACAATGAAATGTCGTTAACTTTTCACAAACGCACTTGTATAGGTTATGCGGCTAATAGGCATAATGATGTGTTAAAATAAACAAGAAAACAGATAACTTGTTGAAATATCCAGATGACAGGAAACAGATAACCCAAATGTTCAAGCAGGCTGCCTTGAGATGAAGAGGAAGGACGTCTGGTGGCACATCGATGATGACTGTGCCGGTAACTAG